GTTGGACAAAGGTCTTGCTGCATGCTGTCTACATGATGCTCAAACCCCTGGCAGGTTGAGGGCACATTCTAGAAGTGGGTAGGATATGAGATTGTAAGGGCTGGTTTAGGAGGGGATATTACAAGGATATAGCTTCATGTGACTGCAGAAATCTAAAACCATAACTACACAATGTCCCTGAGTAACCCTGTTTTTTTTTTTCTGAATACTTTCTCAACAAATCATAAATGTATTAAAATGTTAGAGGCACATGTGGGATTTTACTGCGGGACTATGGATGCCCCTGACTTTTTAATATCATCTGAAGCCAGGTAAATTCTAGGCAGGATGAAGTCACAGATGTGCGACCCCATAAATGCACTCATTTGGAAACGTAGGACCACATTTCTGCTTGTGGGTCTTCCCAAAAAATCACATTCTGCACGATTCTAGATCTGTCTGTGTCTCTTTGGTCAGGGCACCTGACAGCTGACCCTCATACATCAGGATCAAATTATTCAGAAGACTTCCCAATCTCACTTCTGAAGCCAAGGTGGTGGGTGGTGTAGCTTGTGTGTCTGGACATTTGGTCCCCGGCTACTGACGCTGTTTGGAAGATGGAACTGCTCCAGAGGAAGTTGGTCACTGGGAGCTGGGCCTCGGCTTTTACACCCCCATCGCACTTCCTGTGTGCTCTCGGTTTCCTGCTCTGCCAAGACGTGAGGGGGTGAGGACCCCACCCCGCGGCCCCTCCTGTGCCCACAGGGCTTCAGCTGCAGTGCCTCCTGCTCCAAGGTAGACTGTGTCCCCTCGGATTGTGTACCCTCGGATTGTGTCCCCTCGGATTGTGTCCCCTCGGATTGTGTCCCCTCGGATTTAGGCCAAAGGAGACCCGTAAGTTGCTTCATTTGGGGCATTTGGACAAAGCAGAAAGAAAAACAAAAAATTCAGTCCTGGGATTCTACTTTTGAATTTGGTTTTCTTTTTAACAAATTCTCAGAGTTAAGTGGAGAAAAATCATTAAAAATCAATTCAAGCTGTGGCCTTCTGAGGAAGAGGGGTGAGATCATATGACCTTTACTCTAGTGTGAAAATCAGTTCTCCATGAAGCCCAGTGTGCAGTTCCTCTGGAAAAAAAAAAAAAAAAAAAAAAAAAGGCGGGATGGAAATTTAGAGACAAAGGCAGAGAAATGCCCAGACTCAAGCCTCAGACTGTCAATGACATTTGCAAAAATTGATGAAGCAGCTTGCACGCTTTTAAAAAGGATCCCTTAGGGAATAGCGATGGAGGGCTTGGCCTGCTAAGAAACAAGAAAAAGATGCCTACATTTCCCCCGAAACTGACCACTGGTAACAGTTCTTCACTGTATAGAATTATAGCATTCATAGGTGGCCAGAAGAAACAACACATTATAAATGATCTTTGATTCATAAGTGACCTCAGGATTGAACCACGACCCTTCGGGTAGATCTGACATTGGTCTGCTTTCTCTTACTGACCAGACAACCTTTTCTCAACATTTCTGCAAAAACAGGGAGGGGAAAGCCAGATTTGTTTCCAGGGAAAAAAAAAATCAGACAACCTTCATGCTTACGCAAGTCTCCGAGTTGCAGCATGTTCTTTGGGGACATGGAATATTTAAGAACATAACGAAAACTATGGCCCGTTGTCACACGCTAGCATCTTAGTTGGATCTCCCAGAGCTCAGTTTTCTTTCCCAAGGCTTGCGAATCCCATGCTATTCCAGTTTATGATTTCACACCAAATTATCTCTTAATGCCAGATGACCCACATTTTCTTTCCTCTTTCTTCTTCAGCACGATTGAACTAGGTCCTCGGGCATGCTGGGCCAGGGACTGCCACTTAGCTACACTTCCAACCCCCCCCCCCCCCCCCCGTTTTTGTTTTTTTTTTTTTTTTATCTTAATCCAATAGGAAATAGGTGAACTTTAAAATAGGTCCCTCAGGAAGATCAAGTTCTCTTCTGGAAGACACAAAAATAGACCACCTCCTTCATACCAAACATGTATGGATTCAGCATCCAAATCTTAAGAGCAAACGTGGCAATGTTTTAGGGTCTGTCTGTCTGGGGTTCAGAACCCTAAGAAAGTCAAAAAAAATGCAAGGGAAAGAAAGACAGGCACCAAGAAGGAAACACTGATCATACATGTGACGCAAAATTTCTCCAAAGAAGATTTTCTAAAAAGACTACAGCTCATTAGAAACATGGGCAGGTCCACCCCCAGCTGAGGACCTACAGATAAGGGTCATGGGTGGATGCTCAGGGAGGGAAAGCTTTCTCCTTCACGGGTGTGACCCCTGGTAGCTTGACTGTGCCCCAGCATCTGTCCCTCCTCCGTGAGGCTATGGGCAGCAGAGTGGACTTAGTGGGTTACTTAAAAAGGGGAGGAAATGGAGGAGGGAGGGATGAATGCAGAGTGGGTCTAGGGTCATTAGCGGAAGGAGTGAGGGGGGTGAGTGTGGTTAAAGTACATTACATGTATGAAATTCTCAAAAAATTAATAAAATGTATTTCCAAATGGAGTCAAGGGAAGGTTGGATATGATCAAAACATATTGTCTGAGATTCTCAGAGTTAATAAAAATACTTTAGGATATTAAAGAGAAAAGAAAAGCAGACAGAGAAAGCAGAAATGTACAGAAGGACCTGGAACAGGCCGATTATTGTAAAACAGTTTAAAGCTCACCATCACTGCAGATAACACAAATCTGAATAAAGAGATAAAGTTCCACCCCTTAAACTGCCAAAGTTCAAAGCAGGCCACACGGGTAACCGCAGGAGATGATGTTTGTGAGCTTATCATTTTACCTCTGGAGTTTTATGTGGATTATCACGCGGAATATTCACAAAAATGTTGAAGTAGGTCTTTTTTAGAATTGAGGAATGGATTGGGCACCTGGTGGGAGGGTCAACCACCACCAACCAACACATCCTGGTTCCTGGAGCTTGGACCGTTAAGATGCCCAGGGTTGATGGGGAAGCCAGGCGCTGGGCATGCTCCCATGTGGCCTTCAGGGTCTCATGGTCTTGAAATCACCATGGAGCTTCATAGGACTGAACAGATCTTTCTTCCTTCTCTTTAGAAACATTTTTTAATGATTTATTTATCTTTACTTTATGTGCATCGGTGTTTTGCCTGGGTGTATTTCCGTGTGAGGGTGTCAGATCTCCTGGAACTGTGAGCTGCCATTTGGGTGCTGAGCATTGAACCCAGATCCTCTGGAAGAGCAGCCAGTGCTCTTAACCACTGAACCTTCTCTCCTGCTCCGCCTTCTTCCTTCTTTTGCCAAGTGATGAGATTATAGTATGTGCTACCGCGTTCAGTTTAGGGTTTTTTGTTTTGGTTTTTTGTTTGTTTGTTTTTTGTTTTAAAGACCTCATTCCCTTTGGCCTGCTATCTCAGGCCATAAACCATCATGAAATTTTCATTCCTTGCCTCCTAGCAAAATTTATCAGTAAAACTACCTGGGCTCCATAATGTTCTCATTTGTTTGTTTACTACTTAAAAGAATAGTTTTTAGACTTTATTTATTTGCATATGGGTGCTTGGTATGTTGTATATACACTGCATGCATGGTACCTATATGGGTCAGAAGGCAGTGTCAGGCCTCCTAGAACCAGAGTTATAGCTAGTGTGAGCTGTCCCGTGGGTGCTGAGAACTGAACCCGGGTTTCTGCAAGAGACGCAAGTGTGTCTAACACTGAGCCCTCTCTCCAGGTTCCTTGTTTCTCAACTTTATGTTCTAGTTGGTTGTCCATTTTACTTAATTAACATTGAGTTTTTAGCTTCTGTTAATTTATTTTTATTACATTTTATTTATGAAGTGTATGCGTAAAGGTCAGAGGGTAACTTGCATGGCTTGGTTCTTTCCTTTGGCCACCTGGAGCTTGGGGCTTGAACTCAGGTCCTCAAGCTGAACAGCTTTGCCACTGAGCCATTCCATCAGACTTCTGTTGACTCTTAAATTAGTTTGGGCAAATTATGTTCTTCCAGGATATCGTCTGTATCGTTTAATAAGCTTTCCCCCTGCCAGTTCCCACTTCACCATTTTCTCTCCACCCCATGAGGCCGGTACTGCACTCTGCAGACTCCTCCCACCCTCAAGTTCTGGTGTCCCCAACTCTGCAGGACGGTTGTTCCTCACCGACTAACTTCCATGTGCCTCTTCGTGTTCTCACTCTTCAGACCCACGTAACCGATCAGCTGTGTGATGTGACCAGTGTCTGTTATTGTGGCACTAGGACAGAAGGACGTCCCTATTGATGGAAACATGAGTTTGAACTAAGGTTGTTGATACTGGTTCTTCCAGGGAAGGGGCTGGAAGAACTCAGGGTACCTGTGGGTCCATCTTCTACAGTAGCTGTTCATTTCAGCAGCTAAGAAGAAAGTGAGGTGAACAGGGGAATTACTTGAAAGGCGCAAGCTGGGCAGTAGCACAAAGTGAGTGTTTTTAGGAGTTTTGCTCTGTGGTGAAGGAAGATTTTGGAGGAAAGCAAGACAGAGTTGGTTCCTGGTCAGGAGCTGCTGTGGTTGGCTTAGCTGGAGAGAAAATGGCTCCCAGACAGTGGGGAACAGTAGAGGTAGGAATGAGTTAATCATTTAAAAATGATATTCTTGAGGTGAACGATGCCTAAGTTTGCTAAGGTGGGGTGTGGTTCGAGGAGGCCCCAGCTGTATCCCAGTTTCTGCCTTGGGTAACAGGAAGAAGCTAGTGGCAGACAGAGGGTGAGTGTTGGAAGTGGCTTCGACACTTAGGGGAGATGGGCAGAGTGGAGCCTAAATGCATGATGTTCCCCTTGACGCTGGGAATGCAGAAGGCTGAGGAATGAGCTCTGGACGCAGCCCCTCCACTCCCTGCCCCCCCCCCCCCGGCTATCTTGGGCCCATGTCTTTCCCCTCCATTCCCCTCATCTTCCTCACCAGATCTGGCTCAGCCGGTGTGGTCAGAGTTGTGTCAGCCCAAGTGGAGAATTTAGTGACGACCAAATAAGACACAAGTTAATAATTGATATATCTTTTTATTATGCACAGATAAAGAAATTAAAACTGTGGTTATCAAAACTATACCTCTAAGCAGGTTCACAAGTCTCTGACTTACGAACAGGAAAGGTTACAGCAGGGGTGTTCCAACTGGCCACAGGGATTTTTCAGGGTACACTTTGACCCTCACAGACGAAGAACAGTAACAAAATCAGGCTCATTCAGGAAAAACCAGAATAGAGGAAGGAGTATTGTATTTGGAAACTGATAATAGTCCTTCCTAGAAAAATATGTCAGTTTTTATGAATGAACTCCCAGATAAAACAAACAGGGTTAAGAAAAAGTTTGCATACACGACTCAGCCGACGACATGTGCTGTTAACACAACCAGCAGTATACGCATCATTCAAACCATGAGGTAGTTACAGTAAAAAAGGAAGGGCGCGCCTGTGCACCCCACACACTCAGGCATGCCTACCGAGAACACACGCGGGAAATGGACTCACGATATATCACCAGACAAGCAAGAGACCATTTTGTGTTTAGGGAAAAAAACTGCTACATGACCAGCTCAGGCAGAAGAAAAATCTCCAGCCTTTGAAAACGCAGTGTTAACAGCTGGCGAACACCACAACATGAAGAGCCGGGCATTGCACGGTCACCATGGACTCCAGCAGCCCAGGATGGCCTCGAGCAGCCCAGGATGACCTCTGACCACGGCGTGGCCCCCAGAAACAAAGCAAGACTTTGCAAATAGAACTGGGTTCAGCCAGTCTTAGGAAACTTGCAGAATATGTTATAAAAGTAAAGCTTATACTTTGTATTAAATCTGTGATTGGCAGGAAGCAGTCAGAAATACTGTAACAAGAGGCTGGGGAGGAGACCCTAGCTTTATACTTCAGAAATACTTAACAACATTCATTCTCCAATATGGAATCGGGGTTCTTGAGCTGAGTAATACTTCTGATATTGATATTGAGATCCAAGGAAATAAAAGGCAATTTTTTTCTCCTTCTAAAAATATTTTTGTTTGCAATTTATAAATTTGTAAGTTAATTTAAGATTATAAAATCATTGGTAATGTAGTATCTCTCTCAAAAATATACATTTAAATATATTACAAAATTTTTAAACTCCATCCATCTAAGAAATGAATCTTTTAATACCTTCCCATAGCTAATTTTCTTTTTAACAAGACGGTAAAGGTTTTTTCTTTTTCTTTTTTTTAAAGTAACTGATGAGAATTCACAGTAACTGAAATTAAACATTTCATATGGAGTAACTTAAATTTCTCTAAAACATTTAAATATATCTTTATACAGACTTTTTGTAGTAAAATATAGCTATAAGTGATTTAAAGACTCTAGTCTTCTTTGAAGACATCTTTAAACATTTTATACATAGAATATACTTAACAATTACATTCTGCTGAAGGTTAGGCAAAGCGCATTATTTTTAGACACAGGTAGCACAATCCAGGTCCTCCACAATGACAACCTCACGTGTAACAATGAACTAAAGAGAAGTATTCTCTAGTCTCACACCATTCGCACTTATGTGTGGAAATCTGAAATACTCTCAACGCATTCATGCATCAGTCTGAAGCTATCAGCCCGGAAGCAATCTGCTTTGGTTTGAATTACTCCAATTGAATAAGAGCCATCCATCATCCATCCACCCACCCATCCACCCATCCATCCACACATCCACCCATCCATCCACCCACCCATCCAGTTCAACTACGGCTCAGTGGCGAAGAGACTGCCGTCTCCATCCATTTGCCCCGTCTCTACCAGCAACATTTCCTACTGAAGTTTTCACTCATGAAGCACACCCGCCTGACTCTGAAAGGCAGTGAAGTTTGCGCATGAGAATTTCAGGCTAGAATCAAGCTTATTCTACTTATGAACTCTTGAGTTGTTTGGAGGAATTCTGGGAGAGCAATCCGATTTCATTTGCGGTGGACCCAGCATGGGCTCGGTTTTAACACAGAGATGCCATTGCGCTGTCAGAGTGGCATCATACTATTCTGTTGAAGGAAGTTCACCTGAAACCCTTTCTTTGTGAGCTACTTTAAAGCTAGTGCCCTTCTCTCTCTGCATTCTGAGGGCAGAACCGGAGACACCGTGAGATGATCTGGGGCCTCCTGGAAGGGTCTGACTCTGATAAAGGGCTCATCAGAAAGGCCGCTGTGTTGAGTCCACATAGTCTACGGCTTAGAACTCACGTTCCGACTCTGGAAGCATAGAACAGTTTTAAGGAGGGTGTGGTCCTATCTCCAATGTGCAGATGTCACACACTTGTGCTTATATGCACACACACACACACACACACACACACACACACACACACACAACACTTTTGTCCCCCGAAGTTTAAACATGATCAGGACAAAATGTCAGAAACAGGCACAACCCGTTGTTCCATACTTTGGGCATTTTCTGTTTCTGTATGCCTGTAAGAATAAACAAATTTGACTTTAAGATATGTATGGAGTTGGCGTGTGTGTGTGTGTGTGTGCGCGCGCGCGCGCGCGCGCGCGCGCGCACATATGTGGAGGAACAGGAATCCACATTCATTTTGGCCCAAGAAAGGAATGTTGCCTTAACAAGTGGCAGGGTGTAGCCCCTCCCCCAGGCTGGCAAGCTAAACAGGACACCATGTAGGGTGTGGCAGGTCAGAAGTGGGCACCCAGAGAGAGGTGCAGATTGGATACGGAAGGGACATTTCTTCTATTTTACATCTTGGTGCAGCTAGGAGGGCATCTTTGGCCACGTCTCTGGCTCTACTCTCCGACTGTCTTCCTTTCTCCTCCCCCCTTACTCTGGGTCAAACTTCTGATCCCAAACGATGGCTGTTTGGACACCTGGACAAAGCAGCATTAAAAAAGAAAAACACTAGTGTGTTTCACATTGAAACCCTCATCCTCCGAGGGGCTGGAGAAGACCGCCAGCTTAGCTTTCATGTGTGACAGATGTCCGGGTGATGGGGGGGTGGGTGCAACAGGCTGTCGGTACTCTGAAATTCACTCTCTCTTTACAGGGAGCCCAGATCGAGCCCTTGGAGTCTGGACCCGCAGCGCCGACTTCGGGCCCTGCCCTGGCGGCGGCGGAGGCGGCAGTGGCGGCCATCGGGCTCCGGCTAGGCCATGCTGCTGCTGGAGCAGGGGCTGCTCTGAGTGCTACCGATGCTGTGGGCTGCACTGCTGTTCTCCGAGGCCGGTGGTGAGGTGGGGACTTGCTGCCTTCGTGCTGTCTCCCCTGCAGTGAATAAAGACATGTCACACACGCGGTCTGGAAAGAAATGCCCCCCCCCCTTTGATCTGTTACCTGGTGTTTTTCTTAACTATAGGCGGAAGCAGCTAACTCAGATTGGCGGGAGGGCCTTGCACTATAATTTTTTTCTGATTTGTTCTTGTTTTTGTAAGGCAGTAAGTGCTTTCTGTATGGCTAGTTGTGGCTAGGATCTGAGGCGGTTGATGACTAGTACTCTGAATTCTAGGGCCTACATCTCAGGGATGAGCCTTCTGTATGCCAGGAAACTGCACAGCCATCAAGCATGGGTATCTATAACTATCTAACAAGCTCATGACCAAGAAACACACGAATGAGCTACACCATTAATCACAAAACAGTATCATAATGGTCTAATTAAATTTGAAATTGTAGATTGGTCAACCCCTTTTTGTGCTGGGGTTGGGACCTAGGTCTTTGCACACGTCAGGCAAGAGCCAAACACCACTGAGCTCTCCCCAACCTCTTTGCTTCAATGCCTTGTTTAAATCTGGGCTAGTGAAGTAAAGAGTTTGCCTTGACTGAGGCACAAAAAGCTTTGTGTGCCCAGCATGAAACCTGCCTGAGAAGTAGGAACGGGGAGGGGGCTGCTATGGGAAATCCCTTTGGGGCAAGGAGTTTAAGCTGGTTGCATGTGGGACTTGCAGTGGCTGCCAGCAGGCAGCCTCCTTGCACGCTGAGGCTCTGTTGCATTCAATGCATCTATCTCCCAACACACCAGGAAGCAGCCTCTTTGTATGCTGCAGCTCTGTTGCATTCAATGCGTCTATCTCCCAACACACCAGCAAGCAGCCTCCTTGTATGCTGCAGCTCTGTTGCATTCAATGCGTCTATCTCCCAGCACACCAACAAGCAGTCTCCTTGTACGCTGCAGTTCCGTTGCATTCAACGCGTCTAACTCCCACACATTAAGCAGCCCTCTCATCATTACACACTCCACCTCATTACAGCTCAGCCCATGCTTTGAGCCAAATGCGCAACGCTCTGGGGAGAGAGGAAAGCTCAGGTCACACACATGGTTCGCATTTAACTGTGTAAGAGGCCCAGCAGTCTAGTCTCTTCAGTAAAACCAACCTCACACCAACTCCTCCCCCAAAGGAAAAAAACAAAAAACCAACACAAAACTCTAGGAAGAGGAAAGTGATAGGAACTCTCAGCAATAGAATCAATGTCTCCAACCCCCAATGTGAGAAGCACCCAGCAGGCAGGCCTGTTTGAGCTTTCCTGTCCCGCTGAAATGCACGTCTATCAGCCAGAGATAAGCAACCTTCCCTTCAGCTTCCTAGAATCACCACCCAGCAGCAGCTAGAGCAGACTCTGACCCTTCAGCAGGCTTCAGAGACCTGTGCTGCCAGTGCCTTCCTGGGGCCCCTCAAAAATCCCGGCCAGAAGAGCCATTCTGCAAAATGCACCAATGGCTCATGCCCCGGGCCAGGTTTCAGCTTTCCCTGACATCTGTTTTATGAACCACAGCCCCATGGACTTCTGCATCCACCTCAGAGCACTTGAGGCTATTGTGTGTGCATTTGGTCCTTGCATTTCCTGTAATTAATTTTCCTTCTGGTACTGGAGGGATGGAGAGAGAGGAAAGGGTGGATATTCCTGGGGAGCAGGCGGACACTGCTTTAATGCTCTTCTTTCCTGGAGTATTTGGTGTCTTCCCCAGCACTGGCCCTTCAAGTGTATGCAATCAGTGGTGGGAAGCTTGCTTCAAGGGTAACAACATTTTGCCAAAAATTTACTTTCTCCCAAATGGGAAATTATTTCTAGAAAACAATCCAATCTTTTTTCTTTCTTTCTCCTCCCCTTCCCTTTCCCTACCTCTTTCTCCCTTCTGTGTTTTTCTTTTTCAGTGCTAGAGTTTGAACCCACAGCCTTGTAAATGATAGGCACATGTTCCACCCAAGCTATAGTCCCATATATTTCCAGCCCTTAACTATTCTCATGTATACACACATACATACACACACTCATACACACATACATACACATATACATACACACATACATACACACATACACACATACATCTACATACATACATACACACATATACATACACACATACATACACACATATACACACATACATGCACACATACACACACACATACACACACACACCTTTACAACTCACATGTTGACCCATTCTCAGTTGGATCCTCATGTTACCCATTAGAAGGCTAAGATGGGCACACAAAACCCATTTATTTATTTCTCTTATCTATCTATCTATCTATCTATCTATCTCTCTATCTCTCTATCATATCCATCTATCTCTTCAGTGCTGGAGCTGAACCCAAGGCCTTCGAGTTGGCTAAAGCAAGCACTCTGTTACTAGGTTAAATCTCTCACCCCTGAACCTCACATACACACACACACACAAATCTCCCCATTTAGATCAAGGGCACACTGCTCTAACAGGTTTCTTGCCATTCCTTTGGACTCCGCTGGCCTTGTGAGCTTGGTCTCTAGTGGCTGAAGCAGGGACATCTTTACTCATCTAGGGGCTTGTCCCACTGATGTCTTTCAGAACAGGACAAATGTTTAAAAATTCATGTTCAGGAAAATGTCAGCACTGTATCCTGCCTGGGAAGTCCGAATATCTGCTTCTTGGTATCTGTTTGTCACATGTAATTTGTTGCTGTGTTAGTTTATTTATATTATCACTGTTATATTAATCAGTGCCCATTAAAAAGAGATCTTGTTAGCACTCAGAAGGCAGAGACAGGTAGATCTCTGTGAGTTCAAGGCCACTCTGGCCTACAGAGTGAGTTCCAGGATAGGCTCCAAAAGCTACAGAGAAACTGTCTCAAAAAAACAAAAAACAAGAGAGAGAGAGAGAGAGAGAGAGAGAGAGAGAGAGAAGAAAAACAAATTTTGCAACTTTTAGAGTCTTGGAAATTCTTGTCTTGGTAATGCAAAAATGCTTCCCAAAGTAAAATCCCAAAGAGAGCCTAAAAGAGCCCTTATTCAAGATTGCAGGGTCTGCCCTGAGATGGGTGAGACACACTAACCTGATACTATGCTAACTTTGGTTCAGTGCACAGTTTGATTGGGGAGAATCTGTCAGTGAACCTGTTAGTGAACCCTCCCATATCTTGAAGCAGGCTAGCTCTCTAGACTAAAGGAATCTGTGAGTTCCAGGTTTGAGTGAAGACCCTTCTCAATATAAAAGGTTAGACAAACCAAGGAAGACATGCAAGGTTAGCCTCTGGCACATGTGAGTGTGTGTGTATGCATGTGCACACACACACACACACACACACACTCACTCTCACACACTAACACTAATCTTAAGAAAAGAAAGAGAACCTTCCACAGATGAGCTCACCTGCCCTCTGGCTATTTTCACATGTAAAACCTAATATATCTCAGTATAACCAAGTTTTAATTTTTTTCATTCTTCAGCAAATTAGGAAAAGCTTCCCCTGTCCCTTTCTTGTGAGATGGGGAGGCACTGTAAGATTTCATCACGAAGAAGCCTAATGTGCCTACACTTCTGTTCCCACTGCCAGCACTGTGCCCAAGTAGTCCTTTGGCTTCCTGCCCCCATCACACTATCACAAGCACCAGGTTTCTCTAAAGCATACCTTGGTGACAGGTACAACTGGGCACCCTGTGGAGGAGGTGGGCTGGGAGGACCCTGTAGCTAAGCAGCTCAGTGAGATGTAAGATGTTCTAGGGGGCCTTGTACCTCACAGTGCAAATCTAGCCATCAGAGCTTAGATGTTCAGTCCTTGTGCTTCTGAAATTTCAAGCACACAGGGGTGGGAAGAGAGAGCCAGAGAGGAGGAAGAGTGAGTAGGGAAAGGGGTAGTTAGAGCCTGGAGCAGTCTGGACCAGGGGTGGGGCAGGGTGGAGAGACACAAGATGAGAAAATCAAGGATTAATCCGAGGCATTTCCTGGGCTGGGCCTAGGTGATCCAGTGATCTTCTAAAGAGGAGAAAAGTCCTTTATTTCCTAAAGGACAAGGGTTTTTATTTCTGTAGCTCAGCGTCGTATTGGATCTTCACAACCGGATTTTTTTTAAACACATGTATATGTGTGTCTGCATAAGCGTGTATGCATGTCCATGTGTGTTCAGGTGTGCAGAGGCCAGAAGATGAGGCTGGCTACCCTGAAGCTGGAGTTACAGGCAGTAGTGAACACCCTGGCAATGTGAGTGCTGGGAGCCACACCAGAGTCTCCTTCAAGGCTGAGCCTCTCTCCAGGACAGAGTGGAGTCCTCTGTCGGTTTCCAGGAAGATACAGGGAGAGAGGGGACTAACACGGGAAGAAAGGTAGCAGGAGTCTAGGTTATGGAGCCTAAAGAAGACTGTGCAGGTGTCCTGGAGAGCAGTGTGGGAGCAGGACCAGCTGTCCTCTGTCCCCTGCAGGTGAGGAAGTGAGGAAACCTGGGGTGGGGACTCCTGAGACACAGAAAGAAGCTGCAGGTTATGGGGATTGGCTTGGCAGGGAGGGAAATCATGGGCCCTTGTTCTTGGGAGGTAGTTAAGCAGGGAGGGGGAAGGTTTTCCTTCAGGCCCAAGTGTGGGGTGCAGTTTTCCATCAACTGGTATTGCTCCTTCGTTCTGTTTTGTTATTTTTATACACTAGCTGCAACCAGTCATGGGCCTCCAAGGAAGGCCAACCTGGCTACCTTCAGCTTAGAGAGCAGTCAGTCACTTCTCATCTTTCCTGGAACCTGTTCCTTCCCACTGCAGAGGTGGGAGGTGGGGGTGGAGGTGTGGGGTGTGGGAGTAGGGGGTAGGGAGGGGAGTGTTAGCTGTTGACATGAGTTCTGATGAAAAGAAATACTACCGCAAGGCGGGAATCAAAGTCTTTACAAATACTCTGCCTGTTATTCCCTGTCTTTATTCCTAGCTGTGGCCAACCTGCTACCAACTGCATTTTGGTTTCCTGCATCTTACGTTAACCTGACTTTGTGATGAACAGAAAGTGCTCTGGGTCTGGCAATAAGGCT